TTTAGTAATTCTGGCCAGCCTCATTAACAGATGATAATGATGAGGATGATAAGATTATCAGACTAAATCAGACAACATTTGTCGAAAATAAAGCAATTATAATTGTCTCAACCTATAAAATATCATTTGAGTTGTTGACTTTTCGAAGTATAGACAAATAAAATTTATGTATTAAATAATTATAGCAAAAATAATTTTCTGTTATGTAAAATCTTCTTTGTTTTTATACAATAATTATTACATTGAAAGAGTTCAATAGACTGGAAACTAACTGTTCATTGTTCAAACATTATTAGTAAGAATTTCAGTTATATCCTATTTGTGATATTTAGCATTGAAATTTGAACATTCATTGTTGGCTTATGCGTCATCCTGTAGAGAATAATTATATTGAAAGTGTTCAGTTAACTGGAAACTGTAAATAATTCAATCATTATTTATAAAAATTTCAGTTATATTCTATTTATGATATTGAAGATTGAATTTTGACGATTCATTGTTGATTTATGCGTCAACCTGTCTATTAAAATCTCAATGGATAACATATTGACTACGTGAAACGAACATGTACGCTTTTAGTCTGGATGTGTATGTAGAACTATTTGTCTAATGAGTACTCAAATAGAACAAATCATACATTTTGTATTTTAGTGCTAAACAAAATATCTATATTATATAAGTTCTCCTGTCGAGTGATTAGTCAAAGCTTGCCTTGATCTGTCACCGACAAATCTTTTGTAAAGTTGACAACTTTAAAGTTGCTTATAATTTTCTAAATTAGAGTGTTTAATCGTACAGCTTTTTTTATTGTCAATGGACTATATTTTTGTATTGATTATAGTGTTATGGAGATTGTTGTTTTCCGTTGAAATCATGAATCAATCATTGTTAGACCACCATTAGAAACCTGGAAGCACTGGAAGACGGCCGTTTCGCCCTAGAATCGGACTATTCAGCAGTACTCATACACTACACTTGCTAGCTCAGCACGTAGAAGTTTAACTCACCGGACCGTCTAGCTGGCATCCAACGGCGTTAATGTCTAAAACTGATTGATTTAAGGATTTTTCGCAACGACACTCAATTTTATATTCAAATCGGAATAATGTACATGTACTAATTGTGTATTTTGTGATCTAACTTTTACCATTAAACTGATAGTCTGTAAATTAATACAAATCAAATTTTATATGCATGTATTACTTACAAGTAGTTCACTATAGTAAGCTTATTTTAAATAATTTAAAAAAACATCAAACCCTTTAGTTGTTTCTGATTCACTCTTGATTACATGACAGTTCTTCAGATGAATACAGACTTCAAAGGTAACACATATCGACAAAAATAAATTCATCATTCCAACTTAAACCAACTAAAAAAAGTTTAATTTTGATTTTGTTTCCCTACCTGAATCTGTTGTCACGTAGACTGAATGGAATTATACTAATATTCGGATACTCTGTATCTTAATTAGAAAAATAACTTGTTCATTTTCGCTTACTTATTACTATTTTAAATAGAATGTTACGAAAGGTAACTAATATACTAACTTTCTTACGCCAGTTATCCTTAATGGAGAATAGGTTGCCGACCAGTATTCCCTAACCAGCTCTATCCTTAGCTCTCCTTTCTAGTTCTGTTCCAATCGTAACTTATTCATTTCATGACATAACTCAGTTATTTGATATTGTGAGTCGATCAATTTTAGACCATCATTGGAAACCCGAAAGCAATGGACGATCGTTTCGTCAGCAGCATGATTTCATGACCCAACAAGTGGGAATTAAATGCAGTAGCTTCGGTCCCGCGTACGAACACTTAACTTCTAGACCACTAAGGAAGGAGATGTCAGTATCTAACTTCAGTCAGTTCACACTATCTTTTGTCTTAAGTAGGTTGCTGCCTCAAACCCGACACGACTGAACTGTACTGGTCACGGTTTCTCACTAGAACTCCGGAAATTCTGTCACGAACCTAGTCACTAGAGATAACTGCCACTATAAGGTTATGGAGATTGCTAAATGTTGCTGAAATCATAAATCCGAGGATAAGTTTGTGCAATATCATGGAGCTAGATATTAAAACCGTTAGATGTCGGTTCGATTGTTGAACGATTAAGCCTTTGCACATGAGACTGAAGGTCTTGAATTCGATTCCTACTTGAAGAGTTGTGAGTGCTCATCGCTGATGAGAACCATACTCAAACAAAACGACCGTGTGGTGCTTTATTTTTTCTAATGATGGTCTAAAATCGATCGATTTTACGATCTTATTGAAATTCAACAATCTTCACAACCTTACAAGTTGACACAGTCACATTATCAAATAAACATGAAATATTTTCTTGATATTCTGATCTCTAACCTAAACAATTGAATTCTAAACCTTTCATTGTTGTTTTAAAAATTCATCATTAGTGGCTACTTCAAACAATTACATAAGATGAATTTGCCCTATTACAAATCTCTTGAGTCATTATGTAAAATGTTGATCTTGTTATGATATCATAACGAATGAATGACTGATAAAACAAACTCTTCTGAACGTGTAGCATTATCAGTATTCACTTTTTAAACCATGAATCAATCAATGTTATACTACCACTGGAAACCTGGAAGCACTGGACGGCCGTTTCGTCCTGGTATGGGACTCATCAGCAGTGCGCATCCACGACTCCTGCACCCCGCAGGATTCGAACCCAGGACCTTCGGTATTGTGCGCGAACGCCTAACCATCGGACCATTCAACCGGTATCTAACGGTGTTAATGTCTAACTTGATCAAATTCACGGAGTTGCGCAACCTCATACACAGTCTTCGGTAGTTACTGTCTACACCCGAACAGGTTGAACTTCACTGGTCGCGTCTTCCCACTAGAACTCGGAGAAGATTCCTCAGAAGCTAGTCATTAAGGCGTACAGGTAATTTACATTACGAGGTTGTGAAGATTGTTACGTTACACATTTTCGAAACCATGACGAAACGACCGTCCAGTTCTTCCAGGTTTCTAATGGTGGTCTAACATTGATTGATTCATGGTTTCAAAAATGTGTAACTTAACAATCTTCACAACCCCGTAATGCAAATTATCAGTATTGACCAAACACACATCATTTCTATTATATTTAATATTATCCAAACCTATCATGAGCAGAAATATACTTTAATCTAGTAGATTACATCACGGGATTATACTCATTGATATTTACCACATCATCATTTATTCATTATACAAACTTTAATGATTAGTCGTTTAAATTATTCGATAATTACGTCGACCATTATTGTATATTTGATTTTTTCTGTATGCTTACTCGATTATTATATGTCTGGCCTATAATTGACTGACTATAAATACTTATGTTCAATTAGAGTTATGGAGATAAGTGTTTTTTTACACACGGCCGTCCAGTGCTTCTGGGTTTCTAATGGTGGTTTAACGATGATTGATCGATGATTTATAATGTGTATAAACACTTAGTCATTTCTACATCGATTACAGTATCAATTAGTGTATATTTTTTATTGTGTGTGTGGATACTTACTCGCCTATCACATGTCTAGCCTATTACTGCTTGACTATAAATACTTATCTATTCTTCAGCTCATGGAAAGTTGGCTCACTCACCTTTTCCAATTCGTTTCGTTTTGCTTGTACGCTTATCGTTCTCATGTTTGTCTACATAAATGATTACATGAAATAAATTCATCCGGAACATCGTATTTGGCTTCTTACTACCTCCATCGCACAAACTGGGTTAGCTTAATTATAATACACCGAAGTGGAGAGGACGATTTATTTCATTGCACACTTGATCATTCGTCCGCTAAAAATTGAAATTAAGCTTCATTCATACCATTCTTCAGAGGACACAATTTGAATAAAATGTATCATAGATATAGACTAGTGGGCACCTCTAGAATCTTCTTAAAAATTTTCGCCATAATTAATTTATCTACAAAAATGCATTTAGGCTTTTTTGTATATCATTCTTCAAAAAAAGTAATTCCACGCCTACATTCATATCCCGATGTAAAAATTCTTATTATTGTTATCGTTGTTGAGTTTGTTTCACTGTCTGTTTTCCTTCCTCTGAATTCATAAAACAAACTACATGAATTGTAACATTTCAGAAGAAATTTCTGTCATTTTTATGTCTGAAAATGTATACTTCTTAGAGGTTATACAAACTAAACAATGAATAACAAGTTTTTTCGTGTTTATTGATAAGTGGTATTGATGAGATATTAACAGAATAATATTAAAGATTGTTTGTTTTTTAAGGTTATTTCATGGAGGAGATAAGAGTTTATTTTAGTTGGAAAGCTAACATGAGCATCGTCTCTGACGGTTGAATTGAAAAGCAAGATCAATTTGTAGTTGACTATTCACGGAAATATGATTAGATGGTTGGCACTGAGAGCTGAGTAAATATATTAGTTTTATTGAATTTAAACACACTGACATTTGTGCATACAGCAACTTATTCTGTTCATTGACAGTTTTATCCAATCTATTCATAAAAATAATAACAATGTGGAAGTATGCTTGTAACAAAATATTTCCAAAAAACTCAAATTGCAGATTAATAACAAAGGAGTGTGGTTATTAGGGTTCAGTTATTTTGATAGAGAAACAATTACCCGCGAAGAAAAGTGAAATATCAATCACGCAAAATCACATATTTACTACCGATGAAACTATAAATCATGAAATATTACGTCTATGGTTGAACGATTCGGTAATCCCTACATGATTTAAACGTTCAGCGTTCAGTCTTTCGTCGGGACAATAACACATACTTCAGAAACAACTTTCCAGTGTTTCCCAGATTTCAGTATCTAACTATAGTATGACCTTCAGAATAAAACACTTATTTTTTCAAGTTGAAATTGAAATTATTCCTCTTGTAAATATATTTATCAATTATACTTATAATATACTTGCATTTACAAGCTTCAACATAACATGTTGTTTATTTATATACTTGAATATTACAGATAGTAATTTTGTATTGGGCAATGCACAAGTCCATGATTATCCGATTGTTTATTGTTCCGATGGTTTCGTGGAATTAACTGGTTATAATCGATCACAAATTATGTCCAAATGTTGTTCATGTAGTTTCTTGTGGGGTGAACGAACCGATGAGAGCGCGAAACAATCTATATTGAATACATTGAAAAATAAGTGTGAATTACAAATTGAAATACAATTTCATAAGAAAACAAGTAAGTAGATTAATTTTAGATATTTATAATAATGAATTTAAACAAAAATTTATAATGTTTCTTCTTTCTCGCGTGAATGAATTCCTAAAAATAATCGGGCATTGAATTTATGTACATTTTCAAAGTTTTTTGTTTTTTACCTCAGGTAGAGTATTCAATGTTTCAAACTGTATGATTAATTGCTCGAATATGAAATCATTGACTAGAGGTCAAATTCTCATGGAATATCAAAACATTAAAACAATTTAACAGAAAATAAAGTAGCCATTTAGGTACACGAAAAAAGGGACTTTTTGTGCACATTTAGAATAAAATAAACATGGTTGTTTTTATTCATACAATAATGTACAATGGTGTTGATATGTATACTCACCAAGTGACATGCTTGAATGCTATTGCGAGTTCACCATACCCGGTAAATAAAGCGCAGATCAATGATAAAGTGAGTGACACGATAAGCTATTCTAGTCCGTTTTCCCAGCCTCGGCTAACTATACCAAGAAGTCTTGATAGGAAGTAGAGAATGTATTCTACAAGCGCCCAGAGAGTACGAGGTCAACAAGGGCACAAATCGAGCTTATTTATACATGATAGAAACGTCCTCGGGAGAGCCAAAATAAAGGTCCACTAAACTAATCCATCAACCAAAGACCGTCTAAGATTTTCCGAGTGGGAAATGTAATCTCAAGATCAACTTAGCAGCTTAGGTGCGAAAACGCAAAAAGTCCGAATTTAGGACCTTTTCCGAGTGCGTGCTGTGGATCTAACGTCCCCAACAGGTGAACTACATTATATAAAAACAACTATGGTTAATTAATAGATCTACTCTTGATACATTCATAAAAATATAGTGCATATTCCAAATGGTTCGATTTATTTTTTGTAAAAATAATAAACAATACTTAACGTACAGGATCAGAAACTGGTTGGCCACGTGGTAACTTACTTGTAGCTTGACTTGAAAGCTTTCGGTTCAATATACTCTCAAATCATGAATAAGCACTTGTTTCGTCAAGTCTAACTGATACTGATTACCTATTGTGTACCAGTATGCGAAACAGGTTATTTTCAAATTCATACAAACTCTCCAATGAAAAACAACCCATTAAAAATAGGTTTAATTCTAAACTATCTAAAGATTCGTCACATTTCAGCATCAAGCATAACAGGTCTCGTTTGAGTGAACATTGTTTGATCAGGGTTTTTTAAAATATGCGTCCGAATATGCTGAGCCTACATTAATTGTCCTAGCTTTTAGACCAGCTTATGAACCTTTTCTGTCCAAGTCATCATTCACATGTCTTTCAAGGTTGTCAGTCAATCGCTTATAACCTCGGTTGTCCTTATTCGATTGTGTCTGCATTTCTTACTTCGCTGAATATGTGTCTAGTCTATTATTGCCTGACTATTATTACTTAGTCACGTCTCATCACATTAAGTCAGCTCGCTTGCCTTCTGCACTTCACTTTGCTTTGCATTTACGCTTTTATCCTCATGCCTGTCTGCTTAGACAATCGTATGGAACAAAATCATCCATCCGAAACCGTATCTGGCTTCTGGTTACTACCGTTGCACAAATGAGGTTTGCTTAAGAATGATATACAGATTTCAAGGGAAGATTTATTTCATAGCATATTTGATTATTGATCCGAACTGAGGTTAGATCAGGAGCCATTAAAATGATGAGCCTTACTTCCAAATCTGTTAAAGACTTTAGATCCCCAGAACTCACTTGATTAAGGTTCTTATCTTGGATTTTATGTTTTCGAGCATGGGCTGATCAGTTGACCTTGAGATTACATTTCCCACTCGGAAAGTCCTTGACTATCATTCGTCGATGTGTTATTTAAGTACACTATTTTTGTGGCTCTCCCAAGGACGTTTCTATCATGCATGAATAAACTCGATTTGTGTGCTTGTAGAATACATTTTCTACGCCATATCAAGACATTCTCCTCTACTTAGTGGGGCCATGGAACACTTGAATTAGAATAGCCAATCGTATAACTGGATCATTTGTCTTCGCTCTCGTTTACCGAGTAATGTGAACTCGTCACAGTTTCGATCATATCAATCGACAAGCATATCGAATTCAACCCAGTCAATAAATTTGCTTCAAACCACATTTCGAAGAATAATGAAAATTATTCATGAATAATACTCTATTTTCAAAAAGTAACATAATTCACAAACCATTTTATTTTATTTTTGAAAGTGCCTCTTAAAAAAGGGAAATATTTTTCATTCAACATATTCATATTCATTAGTTCAATATTCCAATATATACATATTGTAACGAAAAAAAAGCTAATGGCATAAAACCAAAAAATTAGGTTAATAACAATGCTCAATTCTTTGAACTGAAAAATACAAAAAACATGAAACTTCACTTTTGTTCAATATTATTTATTTTCTAAAATGAATACACAAATATATTTACTGAGTTGTTGACCTGTTTGTTCAAAATTAATGGTAAGATGAAAGTTGAAAACAGATTTTCCCTTTTTTATTTAAATGTCACCAAAAATAAAAAAATAATAAAATAAAATAAAATTATGACCCAATGGAATTCGCTAATGAAAACATTTAGTTAATGATGCCTTGTTTTTATTCTCTTACAAATATATAAATATATATATAAATATTATTTATAAAGTTATAAAATTGAACATGTGACCAACATTGATGAACAAAACGATGTTTTAATGAACAACGAATTTTTTTAATCTCCCTTGATTCGACTGTTAGCCGCATTTTTAATATGTTTAAGTGGTTTATTTCAGTTTATTATTATTATTATTATTATTATCTACCTCGATTGTTCCGTTGACTATTGTTTTCATTATGAATAAACAGCAATTTATCATTTGTTTAAATGAACAATCAAACAATTCACCCATTGACATTGTTATTTGTACATTGAACAATGTGAATTGACAATTGAATTCGTTTTATTTATATTGAAATTAAATTGTTGAAATGATTTTCTTTTTGTTTTTTTTCAAAATTAAAATTTCATTGTTGAATTTTAAATGAGGTGAACATTTATTTTTAAATTCTTAGATTAAAATCTACCATAGTTTTAGATTGATCACTGAATAATAAGTACATAACTTTTGATGAATACATTAATAGTCTATTTGAAATAAATGAAATTCTATTGTTCTTACAATATTAATTTGTTTTAATGAAATGTTTGTTCATTGGAAAGATGAATAACGCATCATTCGGTAGTTGATTTATGTATGCATTTGTAGAAAAACAGTTGCCATTGACTGAAAAAATGTTTTTTATTTTATTTGAAGGCCACAGTGTAAATTAAATTATCCTGATATTCATCAAACAAGTGTTATCTGAAAGCAATGAAGCAATGGATGAAAACTAAACTAATTGATTGTCCAGTTAAACTCAACTCAACCATATATATAGAATGCCAACTAACATCAACAACCGGGAGACTGAAGTACACGTTACTTGAGAATAGCATATTTCACATACTGTATATAACAGAGATAAATAAAGGATCTCAAACGTAACTTAAACATGTATCATTCGAAACAGATCAACATAACGTCGAAGTATTAAAACACCTTGTAAATAGTAGAAATAGGTATGGTGATTTTAAGCTGAATAACTGCAAACAGATAATACAAGGACTATCGAATGAATAACATCTTGAGTAGCAGATTAGACAAATATGACGCTGAAATGATTCCTATGTTTTATGCAATCACTTACTGAATTACTTATGCCTGTTACCACCCCTAATCGAGTATAAGTCATTAACTAGCATTCTTCAGTCTACTCTGTCCTGGGCCTTCTTTTCCAGTTCTCTTCAATTGTTGTTCATTCTTCACTTGTCTGTCTCCATCTGTTCTTTTTTACTCTTATTTTCCTTTGGTCATGAGAATTTCAAGTGAGGACTTGTCTTGTGAGGCGATTATATGCTTTCCGAAATGTGTGTCCTATCCACTTCCATTGCTTCTTCGTAATCCCTTCCTCCACTGGAATCTGGGTTTATTCTATTCCAAAACGATCGTGTCTGTCCAACGAATCTGAAATATTTTACGTAGACAACTGTTAATAAACACTTGTATCTTCTTGATGATGACTTTGGTCTTTTCCCAGTTTTCTGCCACATACAGTAGAACTATCTTGACATTTGTATTGAAAATTGTGTCTTTGGTGTTGGCTGATATTTGTTGATATTATTATGTCAGCTTATTGAAACAGTAAACAGCAATGTTCCTTGTTAAAAAGAACACTAACTACTAAGTATTCACGAAACAGGTGAACAGGCAATGATCAAATATAGGTCGTTTCAGAATTCATCCTTTTTTAGAAAGCTTTTAAAAATCATATGTTTGAATGTATGAAATTACTATAAGTTTCGACTGTAATACAAAACTACGAGAATTCTCCTAATGAAGGTAGTCACTAGTGAGCAGATACCAGGAAAAAAATGGCCATCCATTGCTTCCAAGTTTCTAATGGTGGTATAACAATATTTGATTCATGATTTCAGCTATATATTGATGGTATTTAGGGATATTACTCCCAACTCAGGTCTCATATGGTCGAAAAACGAAAATTTCGGAACTGCGAAAAAATCATTACCTTACATGAGATAAAGGATATTAGGAGTGTTTGGGCCTATTAGCATCAACCTGGGCCACATCTCAGTGCTATCCTACGCCATACTACGCGTAGACCATATGGCATTGCTTTAGCAAGTATTGCTAACAGTCCATATACAATATTGGCTAGCGGGGTGACCGATTTCATTGATACTGGTGGTAGTTGTCTTGCAACATCCCCGAGGGCCATTGTCATTAGGGTGCTGTATTGCAAATCACCATTGCTAATAATCATGAGCTTGACAATCATGGAAGTGGGATGGGTCGAGATGGCCAGTTCACGCGGAGCATATGGATTGACGCGATCACGGATCGGAAATAATCATTATAATGCTAACATGTGGACAGTCTCCTTAGTTCTCCTACAAACCAATATAAAACTGACCTTGACAGCAGAGGGTTAATTTCTAATAATGTAATAATTGATATTATTTGATTGATATGTGATAAACATTTTAAATCTTATTTTATCTAGGAAATATTTCAAATCCTTGCTTATAAATATAATCAAAAACACAATCTACCTCAATGCTAGTGTAACAAATCCAAGAAATTTTTTTATTTTGTCATGTCTCATTTATTTCAATCTTGCAAACAAGACAGAAAACACTTGTACTTCAATTACTGTATTTTTTTTTCCTTTTCAAATTATAAACTTTTATGATTGACTAACATAAATTCTACATTTTTTATCTTACTTATAAAGCATAAATAAACTATGTTTTAAAGTAATCTATGAAGAAATTTTCAATAATCTGTGATATTTTTAAACACGATTGTTATTATTATTATTATCATTTTTGTACGATTAAATTTTTATTTTACAGATGAAGCATTTCTATGTTTATTGGACATTGTACCAATCAAAAATGATAAATCACAAGTTGTATTATTTCTTGTATCACATAAAGAATTATCGCCTGATCGACATGGAAGAAGTAAGTTAAATTTTCAAAAAAAATATAGTGTATGTTAGTTTTGTTTAGTAAAACAAAAAGTGCGTTTTTTTTTCAAAATTCACTGATTGGATTAAAGAATTTCACATTGTTAAATGTCACATATTTTAACATGATTAGGAAATTTTGAAAGAAATTACATGATAAATCAATTACAGGTTTATTTATGCTTAAAAGCTGATACAAGTTTTTATGGAATAAATTTAAAATTTTTCTACTTTGCATTAAAGTTTGATGGAGATTGTTAGTTTACATTGAAATGATGAATAAATCATTGTAAGACCAACTATTGAGAACCTGAAAGCACTGAAAGACGACTACTTCGTCCTAGTGTGGAACTCATTGGCAGTGCGCCTCTATGTTTGTTGTTGCTCGCAGGATTCAGACCCGGAACTTTTGGTTTGTCGCGCGTGCGCTTAACCTCTTCAGACCACTGAGCCGGCATCCGACGGTGTTAATGTCTAGCTCTGGTCAGTCTAAGGATGTTTTCACAACCTCATCTGTCTGTCTTCAGTAGTTACTGCCTACTCACGACACGGCTGAACTATTAAATTTCGAGTAATGTAACACATTAAACTATGTCAATATGTAGACTATTTTCTCCATTATCTTAATTAAATAGGTCACAACTAACTAGTTGACTTGATACAGAGTTTATGCGTGGAATAAACAAAGATTTTTTATTACGACTGAGACTATTTGTTTACTAAATAACTTAGCAATAACGTATCTGACTGTAAAAATTGTTGATGAAGGTTTGAATCCCGCATGTTAGATAATTCTTAGCAAGGATATTAGTTTCAACTTGCCGATATTACCAATAAATACAAAAATTTGATTCAGGAATATTTCCAATTAGTTTTGATAGCTTTTAAATAAAATACAATTAAGTTAAGAACTTTTATCTGCTAATGAGTTACTTCCCGACGGAATGAAGAAACAATTCTACAAACAAATCTATACATTGAAACTTTAGTGTCCTGGTAAATTGTCTGTAGAGGAAAAATAGCTCTATTAAATAAAATGTTTGAAAGGTACTGGATGCCTAACGGCAAAATCGATAATCTTGATGAATAGGCTGATTTGTCCAGCTGCAACTTTGTGAACTGACAATACAAGCTTTACTCTTCGTATCTAATCACCATTTACTCAGATAAACTGAATATTCCTTCCCAACTCAGCACTTTATAGGACATCATCGTGTTTTGTTCCGCTAAACTCGTCTATAGTGGAACATGAAAATTACAAAGTAGAAACTTGCCTTATCGTTGTTATTCAATTAAATTTGATCAAAGGAACTCATAATCAGTTTAATAAATGAATCGAATGTTTTGAAAAGAGCACAGGAAACTAACTGTGTTGGTCAAATTGCAGTTAATAAGGACATGAACTATTCAATCTTTAATTTTTTTCAGAAAATATATAATAAAACATACATTATTCTTCCTGTTCATTAGTTTGACCGGTTTATAGGCCACTTCCTCGGTTGAAGTTTGGATGTATACTTTTTTTCCGAAATTCATCATCATTTTCATGATAGGGTTGTGAAGACTGTCCAGTTAGTTTTAGAAATCATGAATCAACCATTTTTAGACCATGATTAGAAACCCGGAAGCACTAGATGGCTATTTCGTCCTGGTATGGCACTCATCGACAGTGCGCATACATGAATCCCGCTACTCATAGGATTCGAATCCACGACTTTCAATCTCGAGCATACACGCTTAACCTCTAGACCACTGAGCAGGTATTTAACGCTGTTATTGTCTAAATTCTATTGATCCACGGTCTCGTACAACCTCATCGATTGTCCTCGGTAGGCAGTGCTTCACACTTGAACGGGGCGGAACGCCAGTAGTCACGACTTCTCACTAGAACTCAGAGAAAGCTCCTCACGTAGCTAGTCATTAGTGAACACCTGTCTTGACATTTGTATTGAAAATTCCGACTAACTGATTGGTAGGTTCCAGATGTTCTTCAATTTTAGAAATGCTTGTTATTCCGTGCCTTCACATCTAAATCATATCCACTGTGCTCATTAATGATACTGTTCAAATGAGTAAGGCTTTTAGTATCCTTTAAAGCTTCTCTGTCAAGTGTGATTTGGTTGAAGCATGTTGATTTGTATCAAAGGATCTTGTTGAGTCCAAATGCAGTGATAAGAAATCGATTACAATTTTTTATTGAAACTTTTAAAAAGAAGTAGTACATTTATGAATTTATTTCTCATTTAACGTCATTTACAGAATTGCATTCTTTTTCTATCTTAAAAATATGATTCCCACTCATTTGTATCCTAAACATTTGATAGAGTTATCGACAATAAAAAAAGCTCATCAGTATTTAGAAGAAATATTTCTCTCTAATGACTTTTGTTCTTCAATACAGACAGTCAATTTTCTTTCTTCATTTATTGTCTAATCGGTCACATGAAAACTGTTGGACATTTTTTTGTTGTAAGTATGGCGTAACTTCAAAGATTATAAATTATTATCATTTATCTTTTTAATGTGTTCTTGTAGTCAGTCAAACAGTATATAATTATTGTTCAATTAGAGTTATGGATATTAGAGCATTTTCGCACACTGAGATCATCAGTCGATGGTTGTTAGACTGTGGTGGTCAATGTATCACTAGTCTCGCGACGGTCAATATTCAACGTGTTCTCAGTCTTCGTAATTTGCTCATCGAGACAATCGTCACTAAGTAACGCCCGGCGGTTTTATATCAGAAGGTGAACACGAAGTGTTGAATACGTTTATTTTTGACATACCACAAAATCGAACAGCAGACAACAAACACACAGAGAAGGGCAACCACACTAGTCAGCGAGTTAGCGAATCGGTGAATGGATTTTTAAGATTAAAATGTTCGTATATTTACATAGGAAAATGTGTCAGTCATCGAGACATTTAAGAAATTATCATTAAAACGAATAGAACGAGTATGCATGTAGGCGTAAGCATTGTTCAGTCGTATCAGCTCATACAAACCAGAAAATAGTAAAAACCACTGGTACATATAAGTGGCTTGGTTAAATAAGTTAATCGGAAGGCTTAACAAAATTAAATATAAGCGAACTTAAATGTATGTGGAGGCACTACAAGACCACTATTAAAACCTGGAAGCACTGAAAGACGGCCGTTTCGTCACTCGCAAGACCGAAGGTCTTGAGTTTGAATCCCGCGAGCTGCAGGAGTGGTGAATGCGCACTACTGATGAGTCCCATACGAGAACAAAACGGCCGTTCAGTGCTTTCAGGCTCCTAATGTTGATCGATTGATCATTTCAATGTGCTAAAAACACTGATCTCCATAAATCTAATTGAAAAATCGGTAAACGTGCTCACCAGTGGACTAGCTTCGTGAGGAAATTCTCGGAGTTCTTGTGAGAAGACATAACCAGTACAGTTCAATCCTGTTGATTTTAGGCAGTAACTACTAACGACAAATGGATGGGGTCACGCGAAATCCCTAGATTGATCAGAGTTAGAGATTAACATCGTTGGATGCCAACCCAGTAGTCCAATGGTTAGGCGTTTGAACACAAGACTGCAGAGGCCCTAGGTTCGAATACTGTGAGGAGCGGAACTCGTGGATGCGCACTGCTGATGACTGTCATACCAGGACGAAATGGCCGTCTTTCAATGACTTCAGGTTTGTAATGGTGGTCTAACAATGTCTGATTGATGGCTTCAGTGTGCTAAGTATATAATTAGACAAAGAAAAAAATTATTGACTACAGAATGTAATTTTACGCTTCATTTCAGAAAAAAACCAACTTTGATAGTTTGAAAACAAAGAAACTATTTATTTTTTTATTAATCATACAAAATAATACAATCAGTTTGATCGAACACAAAACCTTGAAACATTGATTGAAACTCAACAGTGACTGTATCAATCAATTATTAATATTATAAAACGATTTAGAAGAAACATTTTTGTCGAATAACACTGTCAGCTGCATTATTCTTCCAACCTCGCTGCCTCGCACATTATTGTAATCGCTGATAAAAAAATTTCTTAATCACATCCTCGTAGTTGTTTGTGTGTGCGAATTCGTTTTCTTGATGAACCCGAATAATGCTTGTAAATTGGCATGAAGCGTATTGTTATTCCGATCACTTGCATTCTGTGTGAGGACCTGCCTCTTACAACGAACAGTAAAGCCATTGAATAATTACTTTAAAACGAAGATGTTTGTGCAATTCACTTATTATAAAAATTCAGTAACTATTGAAAGCTTCTGGGATTAGACAACCGTTATGTCCTATTATGAAACTTCACATGGAGTATGCGTTCGCAACCTCGCAGTCGCTGGTCAGACACTTTCGCGCTGGCACACACGTTTTTAGATCCTAAAGAATTATATTCGCTAAATATTTTACGTATAATGAAACATAGAAATTCAAGGTTAGGGTTAAATTTGTAAATTAGTAACCGATTTCTCAATATCAACAATAAATTTTGTCAAAAAATAAGTCGAACCAAACAGAAAAACTTATATTAAAGTAAGCTAAATTCTTGACAGTACCCAGATCTTTGAAAATAGATCATTGAAAGTGTGTTTAAATCATCTTTTTTTCCGAACATATACCTTCTAAATTGTCATCAAGTGATTATCTGATTTTTATCATGGTACAATGAGTTTGTTTTGTAAACAACACATTTATATATCAGAAAATTAGTTAGTTCACTTGTCTTATTGATTCATATATTCAATAAATAATTAAACAATCCACTTTGTAGTGAAGGAGAACACAGGTGAGGACAACCGGATTGTATTTAACGAAAATTACAGAGTTACTCAGTAAAATAGGAAAACCATATCGTAACCGTTAATTTGCAAATCTTCAATCCATCATCAATCCATTGTCTGACACTGTCACTATTCATGCGTTTCATACAAATTCCATTGTGTTCCCACTTTGTTTTCTTGATCTTCTCTCATCTTATGCTGCCAGACATTACGTCTACACTCGCGTCATATACTACTTATTCAATTATCTATCCTATGTATTTCAACTGAAACGTATCAATGTTACTCACAACACATAGTTTAAATCACATATACAAGATGGCTGAACATATATATAAATAACTAGAAATAAGTGAAGAATGTTTTTGTTTTAAACTAGCTTTTCATAGCAGAAGAACTGAATTGTTTACAGTATTGCGAAGACGGAATGTGAATGTGCGAAGTGGCTAAAACCAGGTTGATGTACATCAAGGACCCACCTAGGGGGACTGGAAGAACTTGATTCCGAACACCTAGTGCAAGTAGGATCCTGGCGTATGGCCCTCCTATTGGTCACTGTCTACCATGGGACTGCATCTCTTTACGTTGCTCAAATACCGTGAGCTAAATGCTTGAGGTGAAGCCCCCAAAAGAAAACCACCAAATTGGATTTGGGTACCCAGATGTTATCCCACTTCATACACAAATTTAATAATAACAGGGCATTCAGGTCTTTCAAAGACTGCATTACCTTCGCACTATCAGTTTTAAACCAGGTAATGTAAAAGGCAACCAACCAGAAAATGAATTTCAACATTTATCTCTTCTATCATGAACTAGAAGTATCCATAGTAATTGAATTTACTTCAATGATCAATTTATGTTAACACCATTAATAAAACCGTTGAATTTAATTAGATTATTGTTAAAAATCACACAAACTTAATTTATGACTTCAAACATTCCGATTCATTGAAACACTTGAAAACATTGAATTTTATACTGTTTGAGATTGTTAGTGTATTCATTGATGAATTGTCTAAAATTTAGATTTCTAAATGAATTGCTGGTTGATGTTTTAAAATAGAAGAGAGTGGATATTCTGTGATTTTATCATACTTCAACCAATTTCATGAAAAATATTCATTGTTAAGTTCACATGTTAAGTTTTCGTAATTTGATCAAGTGCTTTGTGTTCCGTTATTGATACAAAACATATCCATAGAAGAACTATTGGAATGACCTTTGTTTATAAAAATGTAACGATGTAAATATGTCACCTGTATATAATTCGTTTCAAAAAAATCAAATACTGTTTCATTAAAATAATGAATCTATCAGTGTTAGACCAAAATTAGAGACTTGGAAACATTGTATGGTTGATTCGTTCCAGTATGCGACTCACTAGCAGTGCTCATCCACAACCTTTGGTCATGCACGCGAACGCTTAAACTCTAAACCATTGACCCGATATCCAACGGTGTTAACGCTTGACTTTAATCAATACAAAGTACTGCACAACTTCTCCGATTGTCTTTGTTCGGTAACTGCTTACACCCAATACGGTTCAACTGTACTGGTCTGTAAAGAAAATTAAATAGTATTGTTACACTGAATCATAACTTATCAGTCATATCAATAATCAATATTCAAAAATATCTAACTTGATGATAAGTAACTGAAAGTTATTTCAAAATTAAAAATCGAAATTGCAAGTACATCACGTATGAAAAAAGTTACAAAAATCAGATCAGTTACTCATCCAATAGACAAGATAATTCACATATCTACCTTCAAAAATTTTGGTTTATAACTCTAATTGGCAAATCTTAAAATGTGCTCACCAGCGACTAGCTTCGTGAGGCAATTCTCGGAGTTCTAGCTGAGAAGACGTGACCAATGGAGTTCAATCCTGTAGGGTGTAGGCAGTAACTACCAAAGACAAATGGGTGAGGTCGCGCGAAATCTGTAGATTGATCAGTGTTAGACATTAACACCGTTGGATGCCGGCCCAGTGGTCCAGAGGTTAGGCGTTGGCGAGCAAGACCGAAGGTCCTGGGTTCGAATCCTGTGAGGTGCAGGAGTCGTGGACGCGAACTGCTGACTAGTCCCGTAACAGAAAGAAACAGCCGTCCAGCGTTTCCAGGTTTCAAATGGTGGTCTGACTATGACTGATTGATGGTTTCCATAAGAAAACATGTTATAAACAATTACAACATGTGTAGATGAACAAAATGAAGATGCTTAACAATAATAAATAAACTACCGGTATATTAGTGCATAATTAATCGATCGTCCTTATTATTTATTTAGTAGTACTCTAATATCTTGAAGAATTTACATATATTTTAGTATTAGCCATGAATACTCCTATATAATCTTTGTGTTACTTGATGTATGTAAGTAGAATGATTTTGGCATCATAAAAAATCACATCTTATTCATGAATTAATGAGTATCATCACAGTTAAAAATGTCATTAGTAGGCTTATAGCGTACTAGATGATATTGTATGAATCTAACAGTTGTTTGCTATTCATGAGCCGGGATTTAATCGATATCCTCAATACCAGGAACTTATCAAGCTGATTGATCTTGGTGAATTTTCATGATATCAAGTAATAGTTCACACAGATCGAATGTTCTTTGTCAATGAAGTTTTTTATTGAACTTATGAACTGAACGATGTTAGAACACTATTGGAAAACTTAAAGCATTGGGCGGCCGTTTCATCCTACTCTGGGATCAATCAACATTCCTCATCCACGAACCTACAAACCTGAATCTAATTCAGGGTCTTAGGTTTTCCGCACAAACACTTACCTTGTTAATCAATGAGCCAATCTCCAATGGCGTTAATGTTTCTAACTTGAAGTCTTGATATTGACTGACCATCATCTAATGTTTTCTGTAGGCAACTGTCTAACATTCAACTCGGTTGAACTGATGTTTTTTCATCTATAACGCTTCACTTATTACCTATAAAATGAATCCTTTTATAAAAAACAGAATAATTAGTGCGAATTCAACTTTCATTTACATTATATCACTGTATTTATGTATATATATATATATATATATATATCAAAAACTTATAAATTTTTCTATGATTTTATTTTAACAAACACCTAGATAAAGCCAATTGTAGTATCCCAGAATCAAGTTTAAAAGTACCTTACATGTTATCAGCACAACATTTAACTGGTATAACACCAACAAATAAAACACCAAATCTATTAACTATGGGACTTGCTACAACAATTACAGCAGCAGTATTAGGTTCAACTGGATTTCGTAGTAATAAACTATTGGATTATTTAAGTACACGTACAAACAGCACAACAACTAATCAATCAACTACACCGACAAGTAATTCCATTACTACTTATAATATTAATAATAATAAATTCGATCGGACCACATCGATTGTAAATAAAAGTTTCTCTGATCGTGGTTCCATTGACTCGAATAAATCACCAACAAAACATTCATCAACTAGCAGTAACAACACTGTGACTGCTACTACTACTAATACTACTACTGCTACTACTACAACTACTACTACAGGTGTTATTATTAATCCGAAACAAAATAGTTTATTAGATAGAATTGATATAGAGAGTGGTCCACTGATAACGTCAGAATACAAAAACACTAGTAATAATAATAATAATAACAGTAATAAATCATTGACTCCTACTCCCAATCGACTTGTGGTTCATGAATCTGAATCAACGGATACATCGAGTGATGATGACACGTCAAGTAATTTAACAAGTGATCCATCAACAGTGTACAAATTTCAACGAAGACGTAGTCGTGCTGTGCTGTATCATTTATCTGGACGATTTGATCATAAATCTAAGCATAAATTACCATTTAAAAAAGTAAGATGAAAAGATTATTCATAAAATTAATATTTGCTTTTTTATGTGAATTTATTTAGTTTAGTGGACTAAAACATAGCAGAAATCCATGAAGTGTCACTGATTTGTGGACTGAGTTATGTTGATAGATGTAGGCTACTTGGTTGGGGTCCGAGAGATGTATGTCACCAATGGTTGGAGACCTTGAACGACATGACTGAAAATCGTTTGCAATGGCGCAAGTGCATCCATTCTTTGTGTTCTCTCAAATTCTAATCTTCTGAATTCCTCGTCACCTCTATCGTTCTCTTTCTTACCTTATCTCACTGAACTGATTCTTCTATAGTAATATCTGCGAACCGTAATCTTCTCCATTACTGTTAATACTTCTACTATCACTACCACTAATGGATTTGAACTGACAGTTGCGTCTCTGTGCTAATGTGGTATGGCAACACGAACTGATGTACTTACGTACGAAGTTCGGCGTTGTATCCGTCTGTCTATTTAGTTTAGAGGAATAATAATATGGTGAGAACTATAGAAG